CCTCTCTTACTCAACAAAGCTATAGGGTCTGGAATGACACACTAATTCAAGTTAAGAATGATTTTACTGATTTTGATAAGGATTAAGGTCTTGCTTAGCAATGTACTTGTACTGGTTTTAATAGACCAGTTTCATCACTAGAGACAAACTCCAGGAGACATTTATTTTAGTTTAACCAACTCTACCTGAAGACACACCATTGGTTAAGTAACTGGTATCCCTCACAGAACTGACACTTTACCTAATCTCAGGTACTCTTAAAATGCACCATGAGTGTAACCCACAGGGAATCTGCACAATGCAAATTGCCTTCAAAAATAACTCTATTTAATTGATATGGACAAAATTATGGTTGTGTTCCAAAAAACCATCTTTCTGCTAAAGATGAGGGACAAGATGCACATTTAAATTACTATGACATTGTATTCATGAGACAGGTTCACACATAAGAAAGGAAAAGTATACTATTTTATGTTGCTTTCGTGGTTTTTCATTGTCTAAGTTTACAAAACTGGCAACACATGGTGTTATCAAATATGTTGAGAGCTAGTTTTGGAAAGTACTCAATTTGAAAAGAAAATTTCTTTTTAGGTGGCAATTTACCATTGTCCTTAATTACAAAAAGGGTCCACATGGGTGCAGAACTATTGAGGTCCGTGGTGCAGAAGCACAGGGTATGTTTGAGCTACTCCTGAACAAGCCCCTGCCAGTCAGGAGTGGTTAGGAGTAACCACTACTGCTCCCCAATCTCTGCCCCTAGAGACACAACAACATAAAGAAACTCAAACATGACAAGTACTCCTCATCAGATGCTATGCCTTGTTAATAATTCCAGCAATACAAATTCATTCCAGGATAACAAACCTGTGTCAATTTAACTACTGCAAACTGCACTTGCTGACAGAGACAATAAATAAACTAGAAAAAGAGAGAATATTGCACAGAAACAAACATATCTACAAAATACTCTGAAGTATGAATCTTGAGGGCCAGATTCTCAGTTTTGCATGTGTGAACACAAAGCAGCAGAGGGCTCTTCCCTTTGTGTCCTGGCTGCAAGATTTCTTACCTGACTCTTTATGGAAACAACACAAACATACCACCCTTTTACCAGGAAGGAAGAAAACATCCAAATTCATGCACAACCCAGAGAAAGCATAGGCTTTTGATATGGTGATTTATATTTAAATACTATGATACATTTAGTTATTGGTTTTCTCTTTTTTTTGTCTTCTAAACCAGGAACTCAGACAAAAGTAAAGAGACATTAAAAGCATGTGGAAACCTCACACCCACACCACTTTGCTTCAGGTCTAAGAGACTTAGTAAGAAAACCTCCCAAAAGCAACCACCACTTGTGAAAACTTGTGGCCATAAATGACTGCAACTGGCATCACAGTGTTACATCTACAGCTGCAGCTATCTGATAGCAAAAGGTATTTTGTTTTTAACCACTATGCTGTCCTTAGCTTGATGTGTGGCTGTTGAGATGGAAAAACAGCATTTCCCTTTCAGATCTTGCAATGTACTTTTCCACTCCTTTAAAATGGAAGGACCTTTGCAGAAATAAGAAAAAGGTCACACTAGGCAGCTTTATGTATTTCTTTTGTCTTCCTTAACAGAGAGACAATGGGAAAGGGAGTTCAAACAAGGCACAGAGAGGCAAAGAGGATACCACAGGTTTAATTTTTTTCTTTGGAGTTTTTATTTAGCGAGGCCTCATCCTCCAGCATGAGATACTGTGTTATGTTTTGTTAGGCCTCCTCCCTCAGCAGAAGAAGAGCTGTGCTCTGCTCGGTTTTTCAAACATGTCAGGTCACCCTGAGAGATTCTGTGAATTCAAATAATTCTGACGTTGACTGAAAGATGCAAATGAGCACTCCTTAATTCATCTCTTTCAGCTTCCTCAGACCTCAGGAGAAATACCTGGAGATAAAATGTTTCAGTTTCAGCAGCCAGAGTAATCTTTGACAACATACTTTGGGAAGCAAGACAGTGGTAGTTTCGCTCTTTGGTTCAGAAAGTTCTTTTCTAAACTCTGCCTCTGTTTACCCCTTTCCCTCCACAACCTTCATTTCACCTGAACTGAGCTCCTGTGCATCATTCTGTGCTGAAAAGCAGTTTTAGTTCTTTTATTTTCTTCACCCATAACTCTGCTCTTGAACTCCCTGCAACAGGAGCATCCTGGAGGCACGTCAGCTTGTGCTGCCTGTGAGCAGCCACAAAGGATTAACATTTTAGTTTGTGCTTTGTAACTGAGACAGGCTATGCTGGCAACTCAGTTTGAGTGATATAAGGCCCTTCTTCCAAGCTGTGATAAAACTACCACTGACTGATAGAAGAGGAATATTATTCCTCCCACAGTTCTCCCTTTCCTGAAAGATTTCTGGTTTGTTGTTACAGCAAGTTATAGCGCTGGTGAGAAGTAGCTCTACTGAAGAACCCAAGTCCAATAATTAACCTGAGGACTGATCTCTGCTCCTTTAAATGGAGCAGTCTTTAAAAAAATTCCCTTTCTGTCTATTTAGGAAAGTGTCTTCTTCTGACAAAGTAACAGCTTTTTCCCTGTACCATGAAAAGCTAATATATAATACCAGATGCACCCTGCACTAGTTCCCAAAGCTCTGGCACTTTAATTCAGTCTAACAGAACAGAGTGGTGCATTTCAATCTCTGACACTACAACTGCTGTCTAAAAGAACATGAGCTATTCCTTAACTACATCACACAGCTGCATGAGGCTGTGAAGGACAGAAACAGAAAATATCAGCACTAAATTCAACACTTGGTCCAGAGCCAACATCACTGGCATCATCTTCTATCCACTGGAGTCTCTCCAGAGACCAAGTTTCTTATGGAAGAGGTATTCACAGTGGACACAAATCAGGATTAGACAACATCCCCATCAAGACATCGACTCTCAGTCCAGGAAATCAAAGCCCTCAAGACCACCATGTGCTTGTTGGACAGCTGAATTGCTGTCTTCCAACTCTATTAACAAATGGAGTTCAACTAAATTGAGGAAATTCCATTATGTCACTAATGTATAAAATTTGCTTTTGTTTAACATGACTTTTGAAAGAAGTCTTTGCTCTGAATTCCAGCTACTGACTAACACTGCTAAGTATGTAAATAGCTAATTCCCAGATTTTCTTCTGACCTTTTCCCACAATTCCAATTAGATTTTAAACCACAAGAATAGCAGAGATATTGCTGAGAAAAGACTTTCACCATCCTCACCACACAACCATAAGCAAAGTATGCAGTAATAAATACCCAGGGGCAAATTCCTTCTCACTTGGTTATTGATTTCCACAAACAGCTTTGCAACAAGAATGGATTTGACCCTTTGCCCTAGACAGTCATCCACGGTGTTAACACTTTGGGTTGCTGAAAAAAGCAGACTTGCAAAGAAAAAATCAGGATGTTGCTCAGTTGTCATCTCACCACTGAATCCATTCAAAGCCAGATTACAGACCCCCGAGAGTAATCACAAAAAGCTTGCAGACCTGTTAGCAACAATGCTGCTGAAGTCTGATTTAGAATGGGCAGTTTACCTCACACCTGGGAAGGGCTGAGGCCTAAGAACTTTCCTGTGAAGGTTTTTGCAATGGTACTATCTCGTGTGGAGTCTCTGGTGTCTGCTAACACAGATGGGTTCATGGTTCAATCACTGTGAATTCCCTGATGCATCATTCCACATTTAAGTCCATGCTCCAGCTCTTCCCTGAGGCTCCTCTCCTCTCTCCAGACACCAGATTCCATGAGACTCCCATACTGCTGTCATTGTGTCACAATCAGCCAGCACTTTCAAGAAGTTTCTGGAAGGTGGGGGCTATGAGAAGGGAGATGAGACCAAGCAGACATTCCTATATGATAAGGATATTTTCCTCAGACAATTGTGTTAAACACACCATTAAACACTCCAGCAAATGGACACTGAGATAGCTGAGATATCACTGATTTCTGAGAGGTGAAATCCCATTTCTTGTCTGACCCAGCAGACAGCATCTTACTCTTTCCCTCCATTTTCAAAACTGGCCTAATTCAATTATTATATATATAACTGGCCTTACTAGATTATCCTGCTGTTCAAAACTATTTCATTATACAGAACTAATTCATACTGTGATGAAGAGCAAAGAAACATTTATAAAAAAATCAGAAGCCACGAAAATCTGAATTTCCTCACCCTTTAAAAATCCTCCCCTGCTTCTCTTTACCTTCTGCCTCATTCCTTTTCTCCACCTCATGCTTTTCTTTAATTAAGCAAATAAAAATATCTTAAAATTGCCTTTTGCCTGGAATTCCACATTTTGTTTCTCCTACTACTACACACACATACACTCATAAACAATCTATCACTGAAGGCAAATAGCAGTATCTGGTCCTGTTTTTGTATCACCAATTTTGATAGAATTTCATTCCAGTGACCTAACATGACCATGATTCAACCATTGTTGTATTAATTGTATATTCACTTTGATGCCTATTCCAGATGTGAATCTTCATATCCTGAACTCATGGAAATCATGTCATCACCACACACTTGTCAGCTTGCAAAACTTCATGTTGCAAGGTTCAGTTGCAAAACAAGTATGTAGTCTCACACTTGATCTTGCAGCATCTCTACAGTCCCTACTTTTAGGTATTAAGGTGTTTAGATATTAGATAGTTTAATTATTACATTTAAATTATATGTCACATTATTTATTATTACATTATTAGATATTCTATACTATATGACATTAATATAGAGCATATTACTATTATTGTACTATTGGGTAATTTAGGTATTAGGTTAATAAGATTTCTTAGACACTAAACACTAGGATATTTAGATACTTGAATATTAGGATTTAGATATTATGACTGCAGCAGCACAGAAGCTCTGGCATTCTGGGTAAGAAGTTTTCAGTGAATGAGCAAAATCAGAGATGGTTTAAGAAGAGTTCAGCAATGCAGTACAGAAAGACAGGCTGAGAAAAGGAACCAATTTACCTGAAGTATTAACAGCATCTGAATAATAGATGGTGGAACTCTGGCTCTGGAACGGGATAATGCATCTTCCAATTTTATATTGAGGGTAATTATATTCCTAAAATGCAGAAGAGCTAATTGCCGAACTGAGGGCTCCTTTCCCTTGGAAACACAAAGAAAGCAAGACAGATTATGAGCAGTGTGAAAATGAGTTTCAAAATCCTCTGCTGAAATTCCTTCTTCCACTCCTGAGGGATTACAAGAATGATAAACCTATATGAAACACAAAGGAAACATAACAAAGGACAGAGAGCAGCCCCTAAGTCTGCACAGTAAATCTGATTTGGCAGTAATAAACTCCAGAGGTGGTGACTGTGTCTGCATGTGAAGAGGATGAAGGGCTGGGGTGGGATGAGAGCTGGGTGATATATGAATATTTTGTATTTTAAGAGTACATCACAAATTAAATGTATCATAAGCTAAAAAAAAAAAAAAAAAAAAAAGGCAGGGCTGCAAATTGGTTGAATTTCCATTATTTCGTAAGATTTTGAGTACTCCCTGTTTACGGTCTTCAAATTTGGCAGCCTGACTCAGCCCACCTGTGGATCCTCCTCTCTATACAGTTTGAGAGACTTTACTTATGTCAGGAGCAGAGCTGAAGTTTCATCTTTCATTTTCAAAGACATCTGTTTTCAGTTCAACAATACCTTCTCACTGAGGAAAACCTCCAGCTGAAGAATGTAACTCAAGCTCTATCTGCAGAGATTAATGGCTGTATTATTAATATATGTATTAATTATGTAGAGCTGTGAAACTGTTTCTCTTTCTGGCATTAGTGGTTTTTCCTTGGGTACACATGGCTGTACACATGGAAGGTTTGGTATTCAACTGATGCTGACTTAAGTCTGGAATAAAGAAGCCTGACCCAACCCTTCTCATTCCTTTTCACTTTCAAAATTATTGAAACTGAAGTAAAGTAGGCCCAGTTGCTTCAGTTGCTAATTAATATAATTTACAAGAGCACATAATCACCAATTGGGCTTTTGGAAGAAACCTCAGAACATAAGCAACTAGATCTATTTGAATTTACATGGGACTTAGGACTCTTAAACCCTCAAAATTCCTTTGGAAATTCAAGTAATTATTTCCACCTGATAGGGGATAAGACTTGTGTTACTAAAATATTTTCAAAGGCCTCAGAAACACAACAGAGAATAGGGATGTTTGGTGCAATTTTCAAAACCAACTTAATGAGTTCTAATTTAGTCAAGTACTTAACAAAAAAAGGCTTAAGGCTTAGAGCCTACCTGTATCTCTAAGTGTCCAAATATTGGATTTAAACTCCAGAGCACTTAGAAAAATTTCCCTTTGTGTTCTAGTATGTTTTTAATAACATCTTACTTCCATTGTTTTAGAATTTCTACTTGTGACACGAGTCATTAGCTGAAGCAGCTTGTATGTTTTCTGGGCTCTTCCCTTTCAGAATAAAATTCAGTGTGAAATAGCAACTTTCCCTCTAAATTCAGACTTCATACCTGTAACTGTCTGAAGATTCAAATGGTAGTATTGTTAACATTTGGGCAACCATTTTAGGCATAAGGTCCATTTGAAAAAATGAGAGAAGGTTTCTAAAGTTTCCCCAAATATATTCAGCCACCAAGTTCCCACTGAAATCTGTAGGAATCTATAAGGAACTGCAAAGACCACTTGCACCTGTCTGGTACAGATTTCCTTGAGACTTCAGTGATAAACAATACTCTTTGGCTATCACTACATTAGAAGATCAAGTATCTATTGTGCATTTAAAATTACTGCAGTTAAAATCTGTACTCATCTAAACTGGTAAAACTTCATTGACTTTTGCTGTCCACTTACCATAGCACAGAATTCAATCTCAGACATACAATTCCTTTTCAAAATTTGAGATACTTCAAAGACAAAACTCACATTGCAGAAAAGGAAATGCATATATTTAAATCAACACAACTCCACTTATTTCACTGTGCAACACTTCAGTTTATCATTCATAACCTTTTTTGACTTTTAGTGTGATTGGCAAATGGACTAACCAGCTTCCCTGCACTCCACTTTTGTTTTGAAAGTTCCTTTTCACCTTTTCCAAACAAGCACTTCAAACCATTTGCACAAGTAACTTATTTGCATGACATGACTAAACACAATAGCTGCACTAGGAGGTTGGCCCAAGGAGAGAGAATTAAGCATTGCATCAATCTGCTGATGAACCCGTAAAGTTGCTTTTTACAGTTTTTCAAGATTCTATGATAAGAGAGTAATTTTTTCACCTGCACAGGATAGAAAATAGCCTGCAGCATGGGCAGGACATCACTGAAGAAAAAATCCCAGGTTTCAGCTAAGGTATCCAGTAGTTTCTGCCCTGCAAAAACAAAACAAAAAAAACTAGTGAAGAGTTTTGATTGTAATCAGCTAGCTGCAAAATGTAAAACACATAGGAAACAATGTGAATCTGCTACTATATGCGAAGATGAATCATGTAGCAGCTACTATTAGCAGTATGGAATTAGTTTTCCATACTGGTATATCAGATCCTTCCACATTTGTACCTTTTCAGGTGACTCATCTAATGCTCTTAATAAACTCAGAGTCTGAAGTTACTTAGGAAAACCCTGTGAAGAACAAAGAGTAATAGCCCAGGTTACATCTTCCTCTTGCAGTAATCCTTGCTGGACTGGACTGTGGAGGAGAGCAGGGGGAGGACACATCAGGTTAAATGTGGAAGTATTCCTGCAGAGGAATTTACCCCACTGTTCTCTCTCCTGCCTTTCAAGCTGCAAGTCAGTAGAGCAAACCACACTCTGTGGAGATGCTCTGTAAAGCATCCCCTCAAGCTGGTCCCTTGTAGCTTTTCCACTGTTCCCTTTCCCACTTACACAGAAAAACTCACTCAAGATCCATGGAAAAGTAAAATCATGTTAAGGCTCTAATTTTTACTCTAACTTTCAAGCAATGCAGTTAGAATTTGCTACGGAGAGAGTTCCCTGTGGTTGTCACAGCAAGGTCACCTCCATGTCCATTCCTTCCCCAGCAGCAGCCACCTGGAATCCTCCCCAGTGGAATCTGGAGAATCTCTGGCCAAGTTGTACAACCAAGCTGGACATTGAGTTCCTCACAGAACATTTTGCACAACACAGAGGCAAATGCAGGAGCCAAGATCCATAGAGGAAATCTGGTTCCATGGGTGGGTTCTGGCTTCAGATCCCTGTTCCCCAAAATGGCCCATGTGACCCTGGATAAGCTCTTTACCATCCCTATGCCCCCAACCCAACTGAGGCTGGGTTGCAATGCCCCTGCACTTCCACCAACAAGTGTCATGGAGATAAAGACATCAGAGATTTTGCCAGGAAGCAAATTCAATCAACATTACTATTGTTGTCAGAATATGATACTATTCTTAATTTTTGTATTAGAGCATTACTTTGAGCCTCAGCCAGGGAGTATTTTGCCCAGAATTACACATGTACACATGAAGCAATTATGCATGAAAGCATTGCACTCAAAGTTAGCCAAATGCCAATCTTTACTACAGGATACTTGATCCCCCTGCCTTTTTAAGCACGTGATGAATAACAACAGCTCTGGTGAATCTGCAACTACTGAATTATTTCCAAGGTGATGACTTTAAGTGCTTTCAGATGTAGATCACCATGCTATACTGCAGCTGCTAGCTTGTGGAACACACCAAGGTCTTATTTTCAGCACCACCAAGCAGGAGCTCTCTCTGTCCTGCACACTCATGTGCAAGACTGAAAAGGGTGTTCTCTTTTTATATTTTTAAAACCTTTTTTAAAAGTATGTTTTTCGTTAATTCTAATGAAATACAGCAGGGAACCAAGTCCAAAAATTTCTAGCAGCTGTAGCAGTTGTAATAGTAGTAATAATAAAAATAATGATAGCAGTAGTATGAATAGTAACAGTAACAGTAATAATAAACATGCTAGGTTTGGCTGGGATAAGTTTAATTTTCTTCCCAGTAGCTGGTAGTGGCTGTGTTTTGGGTTGGTGCTGGAGCAGTGCTGATAACACAGGGATGTTTTAGTTATTGCTGAGCAGGGTGTGCATAGAGCCAAGGCTCTTTCTGCTCCTCTCCCACCCCACCAGTGAGGGCCTGGGAGGAGGGCAGGGGGGGCACAAGGAATTGGGAGGGGACATGGCTGGGACAGCATTTCCCAGCTGGCCACAGGGACTTCCCAGACCATTTGGTGTCATGGTCAGCATACAGAGCTGGGGGGAGATGGAGGAAGGATGGATATTTGGAGTGATTGCAATTGTCCTCTCAAGTCATCATGGTGCACCATGGAGCTCAACCTTCCTGGGATGGCTGAACACCTGCCTGCCCATGAAAAGTGGGGAATGAATGCTATTTCGCTTTGCTTGTGTGCATAATTTTTGCTTTTACCTATTAACTTGTCATAATTTCAACACACCAGATTTTCACTTTTACTCTTCTAATTCTCCTTGCCATTCCATGGAGGGAAGTGAGTGAGTGGCTCCACAGGGCAGAGCTGCTGGCTGGGGCTAAATCACAAAAATAACCTTGCATTTTAACATCCAATACTAGTGTCTGAAAGACCAAAGGGCTTCCAAGATATAAATCTGATCATGAAGGAGAAGCCCAACCACTACACTCTGAAGACAGAGTTTTAAAGAGTTAAATGTTGTTTGAGTTAAATTTAGTTCTAGTTTCCAAAAGATGAGGTTAAAAGCCCTTATAAATCTAGTCCTTTTCAAATCTTGCTGCTAGAATAGTATGAAGTAAATTACTCTTGAGATAAACATGCCTTTACCATCACACACTTATTCCATCTTGTGAGCAGCTTGTTTTGAGATGGAATCGATCTCTGCACAGCAACTCAGAAAGGATGCAGAGTTGAATGACTTAGGTGGGAAGGCCTTTTATTGAGGGCTGTGGAAGAATTTCTATGATCTGTTGATGAGCATCTTTCCCATGAAGGAATGTGACTTACATGTGCTATTAAGGATAGATCCTTTTCTTACTGTCAGGCAAAGATCTCTGCATTTAGCATAAGCATTTGCTGGATTCCAGGAAACTGGGTTACTCTAAATGCTCATTTTTATGAAGCACAATATAGTCAGTTTTGTATGGCATAAAAATGCATTTGGTACTTTTCACGGGACTTCTAAAAGTTAATCGAAACTCATGAAAGAAATATAAGAATAAATAATTAGATATTAAGAAGAAATTCTTCCTGTTGAGGGTGGTGAGGCCCTGCCTCAGAGAAGCTGCGACTGCCCCACCCTTGGAAGTGTCCAAGGCTGGGTTGGATGGGTCTTGGAGCAACCTGGTCTAGTGAAAGGTGTGCCTGACCATGGCAGGTGGGTGGATCAGGATGATCTAGTGGAAGGTGTGCCTGACCATGGCAGGTGGGTGGATCAGGATGATCTTTAAAGGTCCCTTCCAACCCAAACCATTCTGTGATTCTGTGATTTTCAAAACCTTCTGCAGGACAAAACCCCTCCAAAGTGTGGGGGGTTTTCTCTTATGAAAACTTCAACACCAAGTGGAGAGGGAAACACAAACCATGGGATGGGGACAACCTGTGATTTGAAGGGAGAACTGCTGCAAACCATGGGATGGGGACAACCTGTGATTTGAAGGGAGAACTGCTGCTTCTGCAGACCCAGGAAGCAAGCCCTGCTCAGAATGGGAGCTCCAAGACTTCCATGCTTCCAGCTCTGTCTTGGGTGTTTTGAGAACCATGAGGCCACTGAATACAGGATGGACTCTGGGGCAGAGCTGCATCTGCTGCCAATAAACACAAATTCCAGTCTTGGAAATTCAAGTCCACCAGCAACTCCCCAGGAAAGCTGTGTGTCAGAAACAACTCTGCCTCTGAATAAGAAGCCTGAATTACTGCTACCCTCCTGTAACTTGCCAGTTTTAGAGACATTTCTGATCACAGACTTGGAAAAAATATGACCAGCTTAATTCTCACCTTACCAGAATTTTTGACCATAATTTAAAGGGCAGCCATGAAATGATACACTAAATCAAAAAAAATAAAACAAGTTTAAAATCAACAGCTTGTTTAAATTTGGTATTTCCTAAACACAGTCCTATATCTGAAAGCCCTTTAGTCGTCTCACAGTTCAGTTTTTAATCTTAGTTTTGATCTCAAGCATCAGATACAGTATTTTTGATTTTCAAGATGGTAATACTAGGAAAAAAAAAGTATAGGACTTTGGTAGGTCTGTATCTCATTTGCTGATTTGATACTTATAAAACAACTTCCTTTGTGATTTACAGAGCAGCTATAAAGGCCTTGCAATCCCTACAGCTCCCCTTGTGCTCTCCAAGCTGTTATTTTATATAAATGTGGAATTTGGTGTTCAGCTTAAGGACTTGCAGTGCTTTTTTCTGTGGGCTTTGAGGTTTTTAATGTCATATTGATCCTCTTTTTGCAGTGTTCAGGGCTACTGTCTTTTCATCAGAAAAGCTTGATTGTGTAACACCACCTTAATCTGATCAACTGTACTGTCAGTAATGAAAGGTCATGTACAGGATGTATAGATAGCTGAGACTAATGGAAACAGCTGTCTCCAAGCTCCTGCTTAAGCAGCATATTTAGACTAAGTGACATTATGACTACAGCTGTGGAAAAGAAAAGATACATTTCTTTAAAACTGCCTTCACCACCCAAAGATCTTTGGAATGTTTACATAGGCAATAATCCTGTATAGAATCACAGAATCATTTAGGTTGGAAAAAACCTCCAAGATCATCAACTCCAACCATGAACTCAGCGCTGACAAGGCCACCTCTAAGCCAGGTCCCCAAGTGCCACACCTACATCACTTTTAAATACCATCAGGGTTAGTGACTCCACCACTGCGCTGGGCAGCTTATTCCAATGCCTGAACAACTCTTTTGGTGAAGAAATTTTTTTCTAACATGCAATCTAAACCTCCCCTGGCACGACTTGCACGCCAAATCTAGGACAACACAGCATATTTAACAACACATCTAAACTTATGACCACTTAATAGCATAAGCTAAAATATTGGTGGCTATAAAGCAACACACCAAGTGGAGGTTTATCCTTGATGTTACTTCCAGAGATGGCACCTCCAGAAGGTGTAGACAGTTGAATGGAGCCTTGTCTTTAGAAGAGACAGTGCCTGACCTCATTTATGTCAGCATGATTCCAGAATAACTTTAAAAACAAACTACAGCATTATTTTGGACTTAGATACTTAAACTAAGTATCTAAAGGGATTTTTTTGCTTAGTTTTTTGTTTATTACATATCTTAATTTTCAGTTTTTCTGAGCAGGATATAACTGAAGGAGAAGGAAGTGTCCTTGCTGGAGGCAATCCTTCAATGACTCTCTCAATGCTGCTCTAGGCAATCACCTCTCCTTTATGAAGGTTAATGAGAGCACCAAGACAGGACCAACAACAGACTGTAGGAATGGATTGAGACATGATAATCCATAGTCCCAGGAAGATAGTGGAAAGCATGCCAATGCCTCCAGAGCATTTGCAAAAACAGCTGTGACATACATAGCCATGCTAAAATGCAAGTTACCTTCATAAAAACGAATCTTGTCCCTTAGGATCACCATGCCTTTTGTGAGCAGCTGATTCTGTAAATAAAATATAGACTACATTTACTCAATTCTGTACTTCCCTACAGCAATCATATTTCACATTTTGTTCATTTTTAATTTTAGAAAGTGAAGGGGGTATTTTATTTTAAAAATTAAGCATTGAAGGACTCTTGCTGTGTTCATCTTATTTAAATCACTTGGCCACTGTTGGGGTTGATGAAGGCCATGAGAAAAATCCCTGTAGTCATGGTGAGTAAAATATCACCCACTTGAAGGTTCCATAGTTTCTTTGTTACCATTGGCTGTATTTTGACGCATTATTTTACATATTTATAATCCCTAGTTGTTATTTGCTCCTTCCCCTCAGACTCCACCCCTACTGTAGTTTACCTAAGTTACTGTAACCCCCTGGTCCTCATCTTCTGTGTGCATTCCTATATGTTGTTCAGATTATGAGTTTGTTATTTTGCTTATTAAAGATCTTTACTTTTCAGGTCACACAATTGTGCCTGTCCCTATTTATTTTTGCCACCCTCTGCCCTGAAGTCAGAGGACCAAAAAGTTTGTTGCAGTCACCCTCACTGCAACGGGACACTTGTGAAAGTATGCTATAATCACCTGCTGTTTTTAGGACAAAGGATGTATTCTGTGTAGTACAAAGTATTTCTCAAACTTCAAATGACTGACCTAAAAAACATGTACTTAAAGAAGCAAAAAGAATATTGCTTCAACAGAGAGTGATACTTCTAAAAGTCTTTCCTAGTAACTCTACTGCAATGAATTTCACTGGTTTACTCAAGGACTTCAAATTTAAGCTAAAAAACAATGTGTGAAACCTCAAGAAAGACAGCAATGACCTATAGAAACACAGTGACAGGTTGGGTTTTCACTATCTAACTGTATGCGAAACAGAATTGGATTTAAATAAAGAAAACACAGGCCTACCTGCAGATACTCAGTGAAAAATGATCCCAGTTCTGTTTTCAGTAACTGCCTGTTTTAAAAAGAGCAAGAAAAGAATCGGTGTGATCAGCAAATCACATTAGCTGTGCACTGCATGAATGAGAAGTCACTAATAGCAACTTACTTTAGAATAAGCACAGAGACTGTCATTAATGACTAACTACAAAGAGAACAAACAGGACCAACAATACTGACTCAAACCATCATTTTTGCCTGTTGAAAAATATTTGCTGTCAGTTTAGATGCTTCAATTGCACATATGAAAGGAAAATAAGATTTGATGTAAAGAGGATGCTTTCCATCCTACATCCACTCAGGACAAGACAGCTGAAGTTTCATATGGTTTCAATGAAAAGGCAGGTAGGAATTTTACAGTTTAGCTCTGCCTTTCATAATTCCTCCACACTAAAACCTACAAAGCAACCTCAGAGAGCAATTGAAACTCCCATGCAAAACAAATCCCACAAACTCTCAAATTCAGAAACTGAATTCAACTTGGTCCATTAGCCTGCCGGTATCCAGGTAAGATTTGCCACATAGCTAAAAAGCCGTGTTATTTAAATCTCACATGCTGGATGCTAGATAATACTTCTCTTCAGTCAGGCCACTATTTAGATGCATAAATGACAGCTCAGACCTTATAGAAAAATAGTCCCAGCTGGGTTTTCTGAACAAATCTCTTTTGAAAACCTGCCTGCATGACCATGCCTGGTTCCATGAAGAAATGGTGTCAAATGTGACTTAAAAATCTAAACACCCACTTCAATTAGAGTAATTATGTGAATTATATGTTCAATAGCATGTCATCTATCCCTTTGTGTTATGTCTTTAACTGACAACTGTTTAACCAAATTATTTAGCTAGTAAATAATTAAGTTACAAACCAAATCCAGCATATCCCTATATTCTGTGAAAGTCTACAGGACTTGGTTCTGATGTTTTTACAACACATGCTTCAGCACAGCCTCTTGAGATCCCCTGAGAGTTCAGGGAAGAGAGGAGCATGTCAGTCTTGAGGCGGCTGAAATATGGTTATGGAATTATTTATCCTTAAGCACATGTCCACACTGACCCTACAGTTCTGGAAGGTCTAGGCATAAATTAAATTTAAAAATAAACAGAAGGAACGGCATTTTCAGATGTTCCTAAGCATCAAAATCCTTTTCAGCTAGAAACTTGACTAATTTAGACAAACTCTTTATGGACAAAAGTTCTGAAAGCCAGCAGAGGTATTATCCATAGGTGTCCCACTGCCATGAAGACCACCAGCCCTCTTGGCATGTGGCTGCAATGTGGGCAGCACCTTGCTCTCAACAGTAACACTGACAAGCCCTTGGCAGGGATTAAAACCCAGCTCACTCAGAGCTGCTCAAGTTCCAGTGCCTCAAGGGAACTCAAGGAGAACAAGGTTGTAACAGCCAAATTGTAGCATGTTCACTCCAAGTGGAGATTTGCTGTCCAGTGAGGTGACTATTTTCTAGATCACAAGTGATGACACCAAAGGTTCATCTTACTTTGAACATGGATAGACAGACCACTTTTAGGTTGAACTAACAAGAAAGTTGCAGATTTGAATTTTACTATGAGAATGGCAATTTATTCTCATGTATCTCTTTGTGCCACTGTTTCAAGAAAATACTGGTACTTTATGCTGACAGATTTTGTTTCATTTTCTACCCTCTCCTCAAGCTAGCAGCTCCAGATGGATTCTTCAAAGCCTTGAAGACGTGATGTGCAACTACCTTCTCTTTTAGTATTTTAGGTTCTACTGATAAATTCTGGTGTTTAGGTCGGGAAATAAAAATGTATGTTCTGCTGATCCAATAGCCAGCTCTCTGATAAAACAAGATTCCACCACATTTCTGCTTTTTCACCTGAAATCAAATAACAAGCTTGTAGGTAATTATATGCACTGGACTGCACCACACCAGCAGCTGCCAGTAGGCAGCTCTACACCTACATTAACATCTCTATTTACAGGGCAGAAGAACTGACAGCACAATTCATGCATCTTGCTTTTTTAATCCCTAATAATACAGATATTTAAAGCTACTTAATTAATTTCTAGTGAAACAGTGAGGCCTTCAGGTCAGATCAGAACACTGGTGTTTGATATTCTTTGTATATATTTATTTAAATATATATAAGTATATATCCAGAACAAAACTGGATCCAAGACATTGCTTGCAAATTTTTTTTCATCCTTGCTTCATTTCCTTTAAAAAAAACCAGTTAGGCTGTCAGATACTGGATAATTTCAATTACTGACCAACCTTATGGTCATCATATGGACGTCATGGTGGAATCCAGGTAAAAATCTGACTAAACTTCAAAGAAATCCCTGACCAGATAGCAGAACTTATTTCAAGTACATCTGATTTTTAAAGCAGGCATTTTGCACTCATAAAGCTTCTCTATCTGATATCAGGTCTTTACTGCCTGTTTCTTAATAAGTTAACAAATTTAACAAATACTTAACAAATTAAGATGATAATATAAATTCCTTTAAAATGTGCTAAAATGGCTTCCAACTTTTTTTTTTTCTCTGATGCTGTTTCATTGGTTCCTGTTTAAATTAACTCTTGCAACAGTACTCAGAATGGAAAGTTTAACACTGCACAACAGATACTAAGAAAGTTAAATGAAGCAAACAAGTGATTTTACTGGGTTTGAAGTCTGGCTGCAAAACATGAAATGCCACTAAAATGTGCTTTGTTTGCATCACATCAGTATCCTGAAACTCAGAAAAGAGGAAGCTATAAATATGCATTAGCTTTAATACAGGACATCCACTCCGTTTCCCTTCACTTTTTCTTCTTTGTTTTAAAAGCAGTCAAAATAAACCTTTTGAAATGGCATATGTTACATGAAATGAAAAAGGAGAAAACACTGTTTAATTATTAATATTTCAGGTGTGGACCAAGAGAAAACTAAGCAGTACATACATGCATGGAGATTTTTATTACCAGACTTTTGACTCAATCTCCTAATAAATGACCCAGTAAGGGCTCAGAAGAAGGAATGCACAGGCCACATACTGGTGACACTCCCCATCCTGGGACTTTACTGTGCTTCATCAGCTTTAGCAGAGGAAATCAGGAGTTCCAGCAGTGTGAGAGACTCAACTCCCACACTGGTTTTATTGCAATAGGGATTCTGAAGGCTGTATGCAATTCAGTATTTAAGGGCACTTTCTAATGCCACAAGAATGTAAGAATGGTATCAAAAGGCGTTGGTGTAAACAAGTGGCAGCTCTTATGAGCCAAACCTAAAAGAAAAGTAGATTTTCACAATTTCACAATTACCCACTGATGTTTCCTTAAATAATCAGGGTTCAAAACCTCAAGATGTGTGTTCAGAAATTGTTTTATGCATTTGTTTGCATGTATGTGACACATGGTAGTTGAATAGATGTGACATTCCTGAGTCAAAACAATGGCGTGCAAATATTGTTCAAATATTTACACTTGAGCTAGGAATCAACTTGGATATTCAAGGGTTTATTATGAAAAGTATTCCAGAATCAGAATCTGCTCTAATTAAAGTGGTAAAGTAAAATAACTTATTTTATTGTCCTGTAACTATTCACAAAAGTAACTAACTAATATTAACAATTTACCTGAACGCTTCCACACTTGAATTCTGCCCAGTGGAAATAATGGATTTGCTTCTCAGTTTGTACTCATGTGTCTAAAACAATTGTAAGGCAAGTGCAGACTTGTTCCACTTTTGAGGTCATGTTTATGTATCAGGTATTTTTTCACTCAATAATAACATTAACCCAAATAAAGTTATTTTGAAATAAGTAACAAAAGCAGTAAGACAGGTATTTTTGGCATGTGTCAAATCAGCAACTTCATCTCAGGTATGAGACACCAGGCATTCTCCCTGAAGTGACCTACCAGCTGAGATACCAACAAAGCAGCATCATCCCTACCCAAACAAAAAGAAATGGGCCTATCAAGTGGCAGCAAAGCCTGACATAAAATGGAAAAAAAAAAATAAAAAATCAGTGTATTTCTAGTCAGCTTGCCTGTTCAGCCACATGAGATGCTGCATTAAATTCAACTCAACTATGTTACTAAGCATCATTGTGGTTCAGGGTGTATAGCCAGGTAAATTAAAGCAAAATCTGGGCACATTTCTATCTCTTTGTTGGTTCATACCAGAGTATATTTGTCTGACACATCAGCAGAAAGTTTTTATTTTTCCTCTCCTGTCCCTCACAAGCAGACAAGCATATTAAGGGAAATGCATTGGGCCAAGAAATCTCAGTCCAGAAGTACCATTTTTTGTCATTCAGATAAACCTGAAGAATCCTAACAGCACTTATAATAATAACAGTTTATTTTAATTTCAAAAAAAAACAAACACAGGCCAATATCATCTGGCTGGACTTTTCTGTAGAGATCTTCTTTTTTTCCAATTAAAGGAACCAGACTGGGCCAACTATCCCAGACTGAGAATCAGCCAGGGACAGATAAACCCAGAATATCTTGTTATTCTGGGGAATATATTGGAGAGTCAGACTCCAGTGTCCAGACAGAGTAGCAATGAGCTGTTAAGGAAAGGAAATAACTAAGAATCATATGTGAAAACAGCTAGGGAATGTAATAAGCTGTCTGTCTTTTTTAAGTGCAGATTTTTTTCCACCATTTATTTTATAAAGCATTGGACAAATTTCTGTAAGAAATCTGCTACCTTGCCCTTGCCAGGGAGAGGGTTTGGTAAACAATAATAAGTGCTGTAAATCCAGTTATCAGCTTATATCTTGGTAAATCTTCTTTTCAACTGTAACTTGAATAACTCAAATGGTAGGGTTTGCAATTTTTTTTAAAGGGAAGAAAGTTCCCAATATACATCTCACTGGCCTACAGTTAGTCTGTTACAGACAATATCATCAGGATATGGGGAAGAATTTGGAAACATAAACAGTGTTATTCAGGCCATGATGTCTAACAGGACAGTTTTGTCACTTCATTTACATTCATGCTGTGTGGAAGGAGCAGTAGCTCTAAGGGACCACCAGTCAGGACATCTTTCCTTGCCATGTCTCACTGAGTGCTTGGAGGCTTTACCTCTTCCATGGATGCAAGGGAAGCACCTGAGAGTGGCACCTCTGGAAATGGCAGTATCACTGCCATGCAATGGGGCTGAATCACAACAGGGGCCCAGGTTTTCCATTCCTTAGTTTTAAACCAGCACAGTTTTAAACCTTAGTTTTAAACCAGCACATCAAAAGGCCCTACTGCTCAGAGGTGAATTCCTCCAGCAGAAGGAGGGATCAGCTCTTGCCCACAGTGAAATGCTGACACACATCAGCAGCACTGATTACTGAGGCAAAATGGACTGTGCTGGTCAAAACTGCCACTGGGAGAAAAACCTTAATGCTCTGCAGAAGCTGTCAAGTGTGAGGGCTGGCAAACAGTACTGAGCATCTGGCTGAGAACACCTTGCATGGCCGAGTCTCTTACCTGACTCCTTCATTGAGGTTGTAAAGTTCATGGTCTGGGAGACCCTTACGCTGGAATACTGCTATCACTCCATTGTGGATACTGAAAGAGGACATGATGAGTCATTAGCACCCAGTAAGATTCAAGAATGGTATGACCTCCACAATTATTCTAACATTTCTGTCTAGACACTTCAGGACCTTTTAAAAGTCACAGACTTCTGGTACCCCACCCATCCCAGATGCCTAAAAGGAAATTACTGCCTAGCAAATAGGTAACATCTTCGAAAATAAGCTCTTTTAGATTTGTTCCAACTCAGTGACTTCAATAGATGTACATCTGAAATCAGTAATTTCAAATACTTAGACCAATTTCTTTGAACACTTTAAGTATGTCAGCTATAACTTTTAATACATTCACATATTATTATATTCACATATATCTGAAAAATTTAAAAGTATAGTTTTTATCTCTATTGTGAAGAAGAGCTAAAGGTATCTGTTTGTAAGGTCTCCAGGGAGGAAGCTTGATTCTTACTGGTGGAAAAGCTTATCACAGAACCACAGGATGTCCTGGGTTGGAAAGGACCTAAAGATCATCCTGTCCCACCCCTGCCATGGGCAAGGACACCTTTCCTTAGAGTAGATTGCTCCAAAAGCCATCCAACCTGGCTTTGAATGCCTCCAGGGATGGGGCAGTCACACCTTCTCTGGGCACCCTGTGCCAGGGCCTCACCATCTTCACAGGGAGGAATTCTTTCCTGATATCTGATCTGAACCTACTCTCTATCAGTTTGAAGACATTCCTCCTTATCCTGTCACCACACATCCTTGTAAAACGTCTCTCTCCTTTCTTGTAGCCTCCCTTCGGGTGCTGGGAAGACTCGGTCAGCTCTGGCCTGATCCAGGGCCAGATCCAGCTGCACAGGGCTGCTCCCACTCCAAGGGGATGTCATTGCAGGAAAAATGCCAGGCAGCAGCAGAAAGTGCCTCAGGAATGCCAGTGCCCACATTAAACTTTCCCAGGCCAATGGTAAGACAGCTCATTTCAATGCCAGCTGTGAGCAGAGGACTGGTTGGAAGGTAAACTGAACACTGTTCACTGAGAGATTCAAAATGCAGGGACACAATAGCAAAGAGATGCACTATCAGAAAAGCACAGCCACCTTCATCTAAGGAAAAAGGAAACTAAAAGAGGCAGGTGAAGGGTCTGACCTGCTGTGGAGAAATACAGATGCAAGCAGAAATAAGAACCATTATCTTCTTCTCTCTTTTGTTCCTTTGAAGATGTTTCCAAAACCTTACACACGACTGCTGCCACAGCAGTCCCTCTTTCCCCACAAGCACAGATATACATTCACAATCTAACCCAGATTATTTTGGCTGGCTCATACAGACACACTCAATTTATGATTATTTGAAAATCAGCAGATAAATGTCTCTGGTACACAGTGAAGTGACTTGGGTGTTTTAGTATTATGAGTCATAAGGGAAATAAGATTAAAGTAGTGAATGAAACAAGCAGTCTCTACACACTCTTCTGATTCAGAAATGAACTTTGCAATGTTGCCTGCCAGACTTAGGCAGAGAAGAATGACTAAACATTTCTTCTAAAAGGCAAAGTGCTCTCTCACTCTCTCTGTGGCAGCCCTTTCTAAATAAGGGAGAGGTCTTCTCTCTCCAGCTTAACAGGTCCGTTATTATTTCTCAAAGAAGTAAGAGAGAGCAAGCTTTTTTAACCAGAATTAAAGAGGACAGGCTGTGAGCATTGACATAGAACATCCAAGCAGTGAACTTTTAATCTGCCTGGGAACTCCCTAGTAGTGAGGGACAATATCCTTGTCCGGAAAACAAGTCTTGGCCTCGTTAAGTTGACCACCTGCCTTTCCTTCCCATCACAGACAGCAGTGCTTGTATGGAGGGTGCAGGATATAGCCCCTGCCTGCAGGTTTCGTGGGAATGGCACTGGAACTGGCCCTCCACACTTGCTTAAGAGCAGACACAGAGGAGTTGGAATAACTGGGATGCTCTTGGTGGCCTCAGTTGGTGTCAGGATAATGAAAAGTTTGCTTAAATCTTCTTAGCTACCTAAAGCTAAAGAAAAAAACAAACCTAGACCTCACTTAAATCAATGGGTTTCTATAACAAGTGGTTGTTTAAAAATATTTGGTCAGAATGGTTCAACCTTTTGGTGTAAAGAAAATATGAGCTGTTGCTTACACACAGAAGTCCTGCAAGATGCCTGTGGTGGGTGGATTGCTTCACCTGTGCCTGCAACCAGCTTTCATTGAGGCTTAAGTCAATAATGTACATAATGAAACTTTTATTGCAATAGTTAACCTGAACTGGAAATGCCTTGTAAACTCCCTTCTGTAACTCTTTTACAACACAGAAATTAATAATGGGCGCAGTCATGCACTAATACTACTGTGAACACCTCTGTTGTCGCTTTGTGTGTAAGTGTGTGCACAGGAACAAGGTACTGCAGGAGACCAAAAAGAGTCCAATAGAGCCCAAAAACTCTACAGAGCAGGCTCACTTGAGGAGAGGAAATCAGGATGTGAAAACTTTAGAGACCAGGTTTTTTGGGGGGCTGCTTTTAGAATGACAACAAAATGTCAAATGGCTCCAGCAATGTATATTGTACTTATCTATCCCACAGTAGCTACAGATTGCCAAACAAAACTACCTTCAACCAAGGCAGCACTCACAACCACAAAAATCAACTCATCAGCCTAAGAAACTTCATCTCTTTTGAAAGATAAGTCATTCCACATTTTACTGAACCTCCAGAGGAGGAGGTGGCTCCAGCTAACGAAAATGTGGGGAATGGCAGCTCCAGCACACACAGCACAGAATTTCCCCACCATTAGCTTCACCATGAAGGGATCTGGAAGGTGTAAATCCCTGGAGCACAGAGCTGGATCCCTGCTGATGGCACTCACAATCAGCCCAACAGGGGCAGGGTCAAGGTAGGCAGAGTGGGGTAAATTATTCTGATTTTGCATATTATCAGTCTGTTACATGCTACTGCCTACAGAGCTCAATACCACCAAAACATACATTTCTCCTGAGTTATTTGTCCATCCAGATACCACTGGAGTGGGAGCCTGGCTCCTTCTAGTACCACCCATAACTGTTCTTTTACTGACATCTAGAAGCCAAGAAGGAAAAACTATTGCAACTAAAACAGTTTTCTGTCAGGTCAGAATCAGTTTGGCCACAGAGATCAGGAGCAACTCCAAAGCTGGGCTTGCAAGTCTTTTAAGTCCTGATCTTCTGTGTGTTTCAACCATGGCCATGGCCCTTCCAGCTCATGATTTCCTGGCAAAGCAGCAGGACTTGCCAACTTCAACATCCCATAAACATCACACAGATAATTTTAGGTCTCTAAAGCAGTCACTGCCTTTGTGTGCAAACAGCATAGGTGAAAATATCACTGATTTTTATGTAGTGTTTGCAAACTCTCCCAGAGTTCCAGGTGAAGTCCAGAAGGAAAAACAATGGGTATGAATAATCACACCCTCTGACTACCAGGCAGTTAGACAACATTTTCATTTTCAAAATGGACTAAATCAGTTAGGGCAAATTGGCTCTGCACAGTTACATGAACAGCTAATTAACAATAATTAACCTGATATAGGTGCATCAACACCTTCTTGAAGACACTCCTGCTCCAGAGTAAAACATAATTTTTCTGAATTAGCACAATCAAATTGGGAAGAGCCAATTTTCAGTTCAGCTTCAGTTCAGCTGCAACTCCACCAACCTTCCCTTGGCAGGGAAGGCCTTGACCCTTCCAAAATAAGCTCCTAGATGCTAGTTCACTTATGTTCCAGGAATTTCCACCCAAGGTAAGGCAAACTGCAAAGAAGGACAGGCTGCAATTAAGCACTTGGTCATACAAGTGAAAATAAGCTGGTCTGGTAAACTCCCTCTTCAAAGAGTTAGGGAGGCATTAGTTGCCTCACTTCACCAACTATAATCACTGCTCTTACAAACCAAGAAATTGAGACAGACAGGTGAGGGGACTTCCTGGAGGTGTTACTAAGAGTTAGTATCTCTACTAAGTGTTACTAAGAGTTAGTATCTCTATGGACTGTAGGACAAAGAAAACTGGTTACCTGCATTCAGGGAGGTGTAAATTATTCTGGAGGGCTATGGGGAGCAGCAATTCCCTACTACCACCACCACCTTCTGTAGTCATGGCTGGAAAATTCTCCATGGGGACCAGTGGTGGCTTGGCCAGTGGGAAGTCTCTTTCACCAGCCCTGTTCTCCCTTCCATCCTACAGTGAGATTCTGTCTGCCCCCCCATGCACAGAGAGTGCCAAACACTCCACAGAGGGCTTCAAATAAAGGGTCAGAATAAAAAGGGTGATCCTCAGACAGGCAGAAATACTTTAAAATATTTCTAAATAAAAACTGACAGAAGAAAAATATGCTGGTCTGGAATATTTTCTCCACTGGAAAAGCCTTCCTGTCATCTGAAAAAACATTCATCTTAAATTAGGAGATGAAATATGGTTTTCATGTCTGTAAAAGTTATTTTACAGCAAATTGTTTACTGTAAAAAATTACCCCAGACCTTAAAATCCTTTCTGATTTGGTATGTCTCCTCAGATTTACTGCTGGTCTCACTAATGTCACAAGCAATTTACCTGTTTTCTTCACCTTTTCCTTGCTATCTCCTACTCCTTCATGCCTCTGTGAATTTTCTGTATTTTCTTACATCAAAGAGGATCTAAGAACCTTTGACTAGAGGCTTTCCTAGAGCAGAACTCAGACAGTATCAGCTCCTGATGAGGCAGTCTGTGCTAGTTCAGTCAGAATGAAAATCCTGCCATGGATTTTATTTGGCCTGAGTGGGCCCCCTGGTGTGTGAGCTCAGCATTAAAACTTCTGGGTTTCTCAGTCCAATTGATTTAGTCAGCATTCAGCCCTCATTTTTGCCTGAAGTGATCTTACACCTAGTGAAAAAATCTAAACTATTTTAATCCAGTGCAAATTCTGTGAGCTGTAATGAAGTGTATTGTTCCGCTATGTTGCTGTTGGTTGCCAGTTAACTGCACCAACAGTGTTTTGCTGCACAGATCTGGGGTTCATGGGAAAGCAAGCTCTGAAAAAGCCATGATATAAAGTCTCATTTGCCTAATAGCAGACAGCAGCTTGGCACCAATTTCCCTTTGATGTAACAGTGCTGAGAAGTTTCACTGCATTTTAGCACAGACATGAAGGTAGGAGGAAGTGACCTTCCTTGCTACCACAGTGCTACGTTCCCCCAGTAGGCTGAATCGGGCTCCTTCAGGTAGTCCTCTCCTGGTGTCAAAATGCAGAAAGAATTTGCAGGTATGAACAGTCTGAGCTGAGACTGGTGTGAAGGAGGCAGCAGTGGCAGAAGGGACATCCCTGTACCACAGTGGCCACACACAGAACAAATGCAGAAGGGCAGCCATGCATCCACCCCCTCCTCCAAAAATGCCCCCAGTGACTGAGCTGCTGTCCTGCACAGGACCCCATTAGCAGCACTTCAGCTTTTCAGTCCCTGGCATGGCCAGGGGCAGCATCCTTGCTCTGCCTCAAAGATCTGCCTTTCAGCATGGGATCAGCCAGTTTGTGTGGGGCTGAACCTGATGTGTGTTGTGCTTCAGCTCTCCCCACTTCAGTTCTCATGAACTGAATTCAAAGCTTCTTTGAGAAGCAGATACACATATGCCACACCCAGGCACAGCTGCTAACATTATGCAAGAAAGCAGCAGACATTTAAATATAGAACAGCCAGGCTTGGTGAGAGGGGAGAGCTCTGCTGGTGCATCTTGACTTCCTTGATCATCAAGCTCTTATGCTTGCACAGAATGAAACAACACAAGCAATCATTTCATTTGGAAGGAAAAATATTCCTGTAAACCAAAGTATGCAAAGTGTCCTATATTGGGTTGTTTCAATTTTGCAATAGAAAAATAAAAGAAATTCCACAGCCCAAAACTTTAAAAACCCAGACCAGGTTTTGGGTGAGTCAAATTTTAGATGTCCAGGAACATTACAGTCTCTCCAGGAGAGATGAACACAGATTCCCCCAAGACTAGACTCTGCTATATATGTCAAGATAGACATGCACTGATGATAGGCAGAAGCTACAGTGTATAATTTCTTAATCCATCTAATTCAGTATCATTTAAGACTCACTGACATCTGTTCAAGGAACAGCAATGGGACAGTTGTGTAACTGTTTGGATGAAACGTGCAGATGTCCAGCTCATTGACTGGCAAGCACTTCTGGCCAGAGCTGTACCTGCCCTGTCCTGTCCAAATTGAAAGTAACAAGCTCTTGCTTCATCTCAACTAGGAAAATCCTTTAGCTTGAGTATCAGCAGCAGCCCCAAGCCTGGAACTCTCTGCCTCCCAGCAAGCCGGGTGACCTGCTCTGCTTTTGCATCTGCACTTCCACAGCTCCCTCCCCACATGCAACACCTGGAAAAGCTAACCTGGGGACTCTATTCTGATCCCCACCCAGGAGTCTCTTACTCCCTGCTGTTTCCCTTAGGGCTACTGGCCAAATAAAGTCCCAACTGGCACAACTCAAGATGGCCCAATTTATCCTTGATCTACCATCACCATCCATCCACACATCCGGTACAACTTGGGTTCATACAAACAGCGTGATATTTGAGAAGAAACTCAGTCTCTTTTGTGGTCAGCACAGCTGCAGAGTTTAGTGCAATGTTGGCATTCAGCAACTAATTCTTAATACAGACATGAAACTACAAATTTAGTGGTGAGAAGGACAGAAGAGATGATATTTTATATATTTTATTTTTCTCAGAATTTAGGCATATGTATCTGTAGTTCACCGGTCTTTCTCTTCCTACAGTTGTACCACCATAAAATTATAAAATACTACAGATGACACTTTCCAAGCTGTGATCTAGGAGGTGACATTTCATTTTCAAAATTGACCTAAGAATTTAATTCCTAACCATTTAGAGGCTTAGATTAATCTTTTAAGATTGTCACCAAAATGGACATTAATATGCTTTCTGAATGGCTGAGCTAATGGACACATTCACAGCATAATGTTTGCATAGATTTTCTTGTAAAACAGCCATATAATTAAAATGTATAAACAAAGTAAAGGAAATAATCAGGACTTATTTTCCCTGTCCAAAGTGCAGGTGTTTGCATGTGTACATACACACACACACACATCTATTTGTACTAGCATGAGCAAACTTAGTAGACTTTGTCATAATTACATCAACTACCAGCAACAGCCATAGATATACAGATAGGAAGTATGTATTTTAATAGTTGTGCACAGGTAATTCTTTTTTTTAAATATAACCTAAGCCACATAAAGTTTGAATATTTAGATAGACACAAAGATATATTTGTAGCTGGATGCTGTGAAACAAGTCGCTGTCTGTCACAAAGGCTGAAGGGAAGGCAGGGATGTCTCTCTGTTATCAGCCTTCAGAGAAAGTTTAAGAGCCAGGGGAAAAAGGCACTCCTGTGTTAATCTGAGTGGGAGCTTCAGTGCATGTACCAAGACAGCCTGTGAGCCTGCCGAGGTGGGAGCCAGCCCAGCCTGCCGCTCACAGAGCAGCCACCTGCACATCAATCCCACTGCAGGAGCACGGGGAGACTGCCAGCAGCCAGCACACTGTGTGACCTTACCTGTTCCAGGTAGCGTTGGAGCAGGCCCGGCGCTGCTGTGTCCCCCGCTCATCCAAGGCTGCCTGCTCTCTCTTGCCCAGATCACTGAGGCTGGGCGAACTCATGAACTTCAACCTGCGAAGAGTCCTCATGGTCAAATGTGTGTTTGCGTGTGGCAGCTACAGATACACCATCCTGTTTACACACATACACACGCAGCTGGAGCAGCGGCAGCAGCAGCAGTGCGAGCAGTTCCCTCCGTTTGCTGTTCAAAAAAGAAACTTAAAAAAAAAAGAAGAGAGAACCGGTCTCTAGGGAGCACACCTCTGCCAGCAAGAAAACAAACCTTTAATCAGATCAACTCTGACGTCATCAACTGTGGTTAATAATTTCTCCAGTCCTTTCAAAAAATAAGTCAAACTTCTGGCTGCTGCTACAGCACACTGAAGGGGCCCCTTGTAACCACAGCTGCCCTGAGTGTGAAGGCTTCCCTTCCCCTTGGCCCCTGGCAGCATGTCTTGGGAATCTCGCTCAGCACTGCGGTGCTCCACCTGTCATGGGAACTGCTTGGCTCCTCCAGCAGCCTGGGGGGGTCTTGCAGCATTTCCCAAACTCTCGCCCCTCTTCCTGCTCTCATAAATGGAAACGAAACTGGAGGGCAACAGACAGGGGAAAAAAGCAAACCAAAAACAAAACAAACCCAAGTAGCCAATACTGACGCACTGAGACTTTATTGGGAAGTTTCATAACTGCCTGTGCCCTGCCACATTGCGACACTGAACACTCAAACTCTCTCTCATACGTCCACATCCACACGCTCAGAGGCTGCTCTGGCTCAAAGCCTCACACAAAGGATTCGCAAGCAACATAACTGCGGAATGAAAAGTGATGGTCTGGGGTTTAGCATTTGGAGGAATTTCTGATGGTGCACAGAAGAGCCCGATGATTTGCCTTTCTCTGCCTGTATTGTTTGGTTTTTTTATTTTGAAATTGTGATAACAGCTGCAATAAGTTTCTACAAAAGCCCCAGGTGTCTTATCTTCAAAGGAAAGTTGACTGACTGCAGCAGTGAAGCTGAAGGATATGCTTCTACAAGACTCCACCCCATGCTTAGTTTGCTGTCACTCACTTCCAGCTCTGTTTTAAATCCAGGAATGCCTGGCTAATCTTCTGGGGTAGTTTGCAACAGACTGATCCAGAACATAAGAATTGCTCTTTTATTGCTACAGCACTGATCTGCATAGTCTGGTAAAAGCCACAAAGGCTTCTTGCAGAGTAACTTTGCACTCACTGCAAAGAGTAGAAGAAATAGAAGAACTTATCCTTTCCTTTTTTTTTTTTCTTCCTGTTTTCTACTTACTCTTTTCATCTGTGATTGCCTGTTGTCTAGATTCAGGTATAACCAGCTTTGTTGGTGTCCAAATAACATAGCAAAGCTTACTCTACAGGAAAACTCAATTTCTCACAGACAGCTTTGCCCTATGTGCATCATATACTGACATATTTTAGTAAAAAAACAATTCCTCTCACTATTGAACCAAAGTCAGATAAGATTATTGCATATAAATATTTACTTCCATAATTTGATGTAGTTTGTGATAGCTCCATGGGGACCAATTACAGAACTACTTAGAGAAATAAATCTATTTTTACCTTGTGCCACTTTTAGCCATAGTGGTTTTATCCCACTGCTTGAATTAGCATTGTATTAATTGCCCTTCCCACACCAAAACTCTCAAATATACAAATGAGCAGCACAGTAGATGGCATATAACATATCACTTTGGAAGGGACCTGCAGCCCCACATCTAACCTAAGGACAAAGACCTTACTATCCCCTTACTAAACTCTTCCAGACGTTTAACACTTTCAAACAAACAACAATCCATTATGTATATGGCAGCAAAAGGAAAACAAATATATATATATTTATATATGTATATATCCATATTCTAAGGGATGAGATGTCTTCTACAGCATACAAATGAGAGAGCAAACACAGCTCCAGCAGAACACTGCTTTATCCAAATAGGATGAAGGGCACTCCATTTCTGTGGACAATATGGCTGGGGAGAGCAGGGGAACACATATCAGCCTAAGTTTCTGTTAAGGGCTCAGATCAAATGTTTGTCTGCCCTGTGAAGTGAAAAAGCTAGTTAGATAAACAAGTGGCAATATAATTCCCTCTAATTTCATTTTCCACCTAGTTGCTTTTTTTCTTCCCACATTCTGTGAATTTAATAAGTTTTGCAAAATGTTATAATACTGGATTAAATCCTTGCATTTTTTAGCACTTTGATTCTGTCTGTACGGTTAAAATACTACACCTGTAGAAGTTATTCTATTTATATGTCAACCTGTACTACACTCAGAGTCAACTCATGCACCAAATCATAAGCCAAGCATTCCAATCTCCTGAAAAATCTGCAACAGGAGACAGGCTTTCTCTACACTCTTTTCTCCTTTCTTTGATTATACCTGATCAAATGTTGATTTATGATAAAATAAATAATTTTCAACAAGGGCTACTTCCACCCATAACTGCAGATTAATCCTACATATTTATACCATGCTGAGAGTCCACGGACATGCTTGACTTCATGTCATTCATTAACTTGACCTAAGTAGTGCTTGGGTAAGAAGGGAGAAGATAAAATCTGCACTTCAGCATTACAAGTGAAGAAGAGAGAGGTGGTGTGACTTGCCCAGCCCACTTCATAAGGGTGGCAGAGACATCAGGAGATCTTGGACCTCTGTTTCCCATTCCAGCAGAAGAACAAGTGGATGCTGCAGGTAGCTGGGGATTTCTGAGGCCCAGCTGGCCAGAGGGCAATGCAGGAGTCAGAACTCCTCAGAAGGGCTTGTGCTACAGCTGTGCTTCTGCAGCCACTGGTGAAGTGCTGTCAATACAGCACTGCTTCCAGAGAGGCTCAGCAGCACAGACTGCTCACCACTGGCCATGGAGAGGGGTGAGAGCACTGCTGGACTCACTGGGAGGAAGGGGAGGACTGGGGATTGGGAGGAGACTTCCAGAAGGTTCAATAAGGAGCACTACATGCTGCTTGAACAGAACAGCTGCACTCAGCGCAAACACAGAGCTGAGACTGTCAAGTACTGGTAGGTTAATTCACTTAAACCCAGCATGCCATACGTGGTACTAATACTACTAAGCTCACACAAAACCTGCAGCTCAAAGGTTAAATAGTTTAATCAGAGCCACATAACCATTTCAGTGAGGAAGGCACTGCCAGCTGAAGCTCATTCTCTTCCCCTGCAACATTTCTCCTTGTAAAAACAGGCCTGTCTCTACTAGAAAGAATTCTTTGAACTGTGGGGACCACATCCTCTGAATGACTGCACAGCAAGTCCCAGAGCTGCCAGAGTCATAAGGGAATTTCTGCTTACCTGGATTTACTTCTATCTTAAGGCCAAAAACAATATATAGGTAGATAAATACAAGCTGGAAGTTGAAGAGGATTTATGCTGTTACTAGAAAACCATGTTAACATACAGATCCAGGACCTTGCTTTTAATATCACAGGAGTCCTGCCAGAGTTTCCTCCTGCTATGTCAGTTTTGCCTGCAACACTCTTGCTGGGACCTGTAGTATAAAGATTGTATTGCTGTGCCTAGAAAACATTAGGAAAAAAAATCCAGGAAGTCCTCCCCAAGCATACACTTGGTTTCAAAAGAATGAGATTTAATGAAAAAAAAAACCAAAAAGAAAGAACCTTACATTTTATTTACCTAATGTTAATTTTTACAGTTTAATTCTACTGTCTACTTAAAAGTTTCTTTTTGACCATGATGAGAGGGGAAAAGAAGTAAAAAGTAATGTTCACAATGGGAAACATTAAGAAATTTACAATATATGAAATCCGTAATAAAGCTGTGGCTGCTATGGGTCAACTTGTTTAAGACTACACCACTCTGCTACTGCAATTACAAATGAGCACTGCAGTGGTATCACTACCAGTGGGAGGATGCAAACAGTAAGAGAATTTGCCATCTCAGCTTTATTCACCATTCAGAGCTTTGCCATGAACAAAACAACTCAGTAAATAAAAAATTTAATTGGAAAAGAAAAAAGAAGCCCACTACTTCACTTTATCTCCCTATCTCTTTTGGACAAGAGAGCAGAACTTCCTGTAGTGATGCTGAGTGGTGTACACTTTACAACCAAAGAAGAGAATGGCAGAGTGTCCCTGTGGCAGAAAGGAGTTTAACATCTCCCTAGAAAAATTCATTTTAGTTTTTCATAAACTACGCCACAAAACTTAAGGTATGCCTTGACACATGCCAAAGCTCAGGAATTAGTCTTCTGACAGAACAGCATAGCCCTCCTAAAGGCCCAGGACATCCTGCCACACCAGCAGATGAGGGGCAAGGCAGAAAGGAAGGAGATGCAACCATCAGGAAAAAATAAAAAGAGCCAGAAGGAAATGAAGTTGTAAACCTAATGACTCATCAATTCCTTTGCTACATAAAGCTCCTTTATTATCAGAACACAAAGAATAAAGAGAGTAAAGAAAGTATGAAACCAAAGAGGGTCTATTTACACCCTTCCTCCTCCATCCCACTGACTCTCTGCAACCTCTGGAGATAAAGGCATTCTCAAGGATGCCTTTTTGTTTATTGAGGTTAGTCCTAGGACAGCCTTGGTTTTGCTAGTCCTTTATCTTATTTCTGCCCTCACCACAGCCAAGCCCTGATTTGTAAGAGAGGACTTGGCCTTACTTAGATGTCTTCCCAACCTTTGGAACACCTCCTGTGCTTCTACATCCTGTGACCAGCCATGCCCATGAGACCACAGCTGCCTCCCTGTGGACAGAGTCGGGCTTTCTGTCCCTTCACCTCCATGTGGGATTCACAACTGGCATTTGTCTTTTAGGTTGTGACAAAGAAATGCTCATGACAGTATCTCCTTCCTAAGCAATCACAAGGTGACACCCAAGAAGAGCCCTTTGACTAGGGCTAGCAAGGGATGCTCTGCAGTTTACAGACCATCTGCAAAGCTTCAGAGCTGATATTCAGGCAAGCCATGGCTGCTGCAGTTCACTGCCTGCCTCAGAGATACACTGGCTTCCACCAAACATAGCTATCCATGTCATGCTAACCTGCAGATGGGCCCATCTCCTGGACCTTTCCTTCCAGAAGTTTCTCAGTGTGAGGCAGAGCATCATGGGTGTGCCTAGGAGATTTTCTCAGCAGAGAGGCCTGCAAAGGTCTGGAGCAAAGAACCATCCAGACTGCAGCAATCATCCAGTTCTAGTTTCTTTCCATAGTCTACTGATGGATGACATTTATTACCTGTACACTGAGCTTCTCAGCCTCCCCACCTTGCTCCCTTCCTGTTTCTCTTTCACCCTTAGCTTTTATACTCCCTCTTCATTTTTTGTCTTTCTTAGCTAGCTAATTCTTCCTCAGACAGTTTTTAAATATAAAGGAAAATTTGGTACTAACAATATTTGAAAAACCACTCTTTAGCTGGCTCTCAGGGAATCAAGGCTTCAGTTTGCCTGTTTGGACTGTGAACTCCTCTTTACCCTTTTCCCTCCCTTTGGGGATTCACTCTGTTCTTCAGTCAGCAAAACAGGGCCCTGAGTTCAGATATAGATCCCAGTCCCCAGCATAATCTAACACAGTTGAGCAATACCTGCTGAAAGCATCCATGAAATCCTACCCCCTCTGTCAGCAGTTTTTGGCTTTACAGAGCAATACAAGCAGTTCTTAAACTACAGTAGACAGCTAAATCTTTTTTGTTGTGTTCTTCAGGACAAAGGCACTAGGAGAGAATAAGGACAGGAATAGGCCTGTTACACCCCCATCCAAAATATCAAGCTTTCCATGATAAATCAATTCTCCTGGCTTGTAGTATTGCTTCTAGTTATCTCGGTAAAGGTTCTGGGAATTAAAGACAGTGCAGTGGTCGAAAAAAATTCAATGGTTCTGCTGGAGGAAGAGAGGACCAATGCTCTGGATTATATGACCTGTGGCATTACCAGCTTCCACTCATATGCACCCAGGAAAGGAGATGGGTTTCTGAGTGCCAAATGCACCTGCTTCAGGTGTTACTGTTGCTCACTCAGTGATTTAGCAACCCACTGTAACCAGTGTATACTCCAGGACAATCTCAAAACTTTAATGCAATAACTAAATGGAAGTCAAATCTTAAATTTTGATTCAGAAAGTAAGGTTTCAAAAGTTCTGATCAATAAGTAAACCAAATATTTAAAATACTTTGTGCTCTTATTACAAGATCATGAGATAGTGGAAAATTAATCTTACAAAGTAATTGAGCTCATAATACACATGATTTTTTGCCTTCCTGAGCTCTATGTGAATTCTTTCCAAAATTGCCTATCTTGCATAATTTTAATTGGCTCCCAGAACACCATGACCTTGATGCAGCAGCTACAGTATCTCAGTGCTGACTTCTACAGTAATATATGGTACCATGCCTTCCAAATCTGTGAGCCCTGAGAGATCAGAAATGTGTGCTGCATGGTGCTATTTTTCTTATATCCAAGCATTTCTGATTTAAGGTCTTCCAAGAGGGTTCTGATTGCCTTGGAAGGTCACCAAGATAAAGAACCCACTTCAGCAACTCACTGAGTATCTAATGAACTGCACTGGTGGGCAGCTGTTATTTACAAGTAATATCCCATCTTTCTCTCAAAGCCATATTGCTTGTGTAATGTTCTCTCAGAGCATGGCTAGAAACATGAACTGTGCCTTGAGATTACTGAGCCTAAGTCAGGGAGGTTACTTCTGACTCAAGCAATGCAAGAGCCAGCTCTACAAACGGGGAATCTTTGACTCTAGTGGTATTACGTTGCTGGTATTTGCATGGTATTATAGCACTTTGGAACAAATCCTATAGTCCTGCAAGAATCAAAAAAGCCTGATGTTCAACACAAATGGATTCTTTCAGAAAATTCATCATTCCCCCTTTGCCTCACAAGGATGTCTTTCTGAATGGAAAAAGCACCAGAGAGATTTAAAAGACAATCCAAAATTGCAACATCTATCTGTGCACTTGGACTCTGCAGCATTCAGTGTGATGGAACTTTCATAGGAACTTAAAAATGGGGAACTCTTGCCATCCTTCACACACACATCCTTCACACTTTCTCATGCTGAGACTGTCCCTGCAAACTGAGATACTGGGCAGTGCAAACAGCCAGAGTATAAAAAGTCTTAATTGCACAAATTATTTATACTTGTACCTTTAAATCTTCATTTCACCAGATCAGCAGGTCCAGTACTATGACCTCTCAAGTATGTATCACATTCCGAGTGTTTTCTCAGGATGCTCTGGGAAATAATTTATAACAAAGGGCAGAGTGATGTAATTTTTTAGACTACACAGCAATATTTGGAAAAACTTCACTGTCACTGCAACTCATTAGCCCGTCTCAGTCTTCAATCGGACACAACACGGTATCAACATCTGAGTTATCACCTAGGAGGAATGCCTCATTATCGAGGAGGTAAAGCACATTCCATTTCCTTACAGAAAACATTTTTTTCCCCACAAGGTAACAACAATTAGATACTTAATTGAGGAACTCCTCCTTCTCTAAAGTAAGCATGAACACCAGCCTCCTCAAACTACTGGGGGATGCAGTGGAAGAACAGAGGCATCTTCCAGAAGATCTGTGTGTCTTCATCTATGTTATGGTATGTCCCTCATCTCTCTCTCTCTCCTGGTGAGTCCTGTTATTTTGTTCACCAGGCTCCATTTCATCATTTCAAATGATTTGTTCTCCAAACCTGGGCTATAGTAACTTTACATTGCAAAACAGTTCAAACTTTCCAAAGGCATGCTCTTTTTTTTTGGTTTTTTTTGAGGCACCCCTCAGAAAACTGCTGGAACCATAAACATTTTAGGCTTCACAGCACTGGGAGCTCTGAGCCATCCAAGGTCTTCCAGGTTGGCTGCTCTAGGACCAGCAGTTTGAAAAACCACCTGGACTGAGCTCCCAGATTCTGAAACAGAAAGCTGAAGGACTTGAGCAAGGCTCCCAAATGTTCTGCTGAGATCCTGGTACAAAAAGCAATGTTTCTAGAATGCACAATTTCTTCATACAGACAGCTATAGGCCGGGTAGTCCCAGACTTGCAGACAGCTCTTATGTGAACTGCTTCCTGTGGAGCATGCTTCATTTTGGGAATACCACCAGAAAAAATAAATTAACTGAAAACCTTTAATGAGTGGCAAAGCCTGGAGTGTGGTAATCTCCACATTTAAATCTCTGTCTCATGTCCTTTTGAGATACTTTGGTCTCTATAGAGAGGTTTACACCAAACTTCAACAACTTAACATCTTCACATTGAGGGGAAGATCACAGGAGGATGGACAAAGCTTGGCCCTGTGGAAAAACTGCAGCTTTTGCTCATCCTGACTCTTAAAATCTGGAAAAAACATTTGTGTCAGCCTACTTTTTCTAAAATTTCATTTCAGGCCCATTGCTCAAGGATGGAACACAATGACACCTGAGGTGATGAGGCCACCTGGAAAGGCAGCTGGGCTGGGGCTGTGCCCCCTCAGGTGAGTGGGGAGGTAGCCCTGAAAACAGCCATGTAAAACACAAAAAAAACCAATAAAACATGCATCTGCCTGTGAAAATGTGCTCCTTATTGCTTATAACTACATTTTAACTCTTTGATGAGCCCCTCACAGGGAAAAACAGCTTAACTCCCACAAAGGTTTATAAATCAACAGCTGTTTGTCACGTGTTTTTTTTTAATCAAAGATGCCCCTCTTTGAGTTCCTCCACTCACTGGAGGGGAGTGATGGAATGGAAGGGGAAGTGATGGCAGGGCAAACACAAGAGGAATCCTGCTACTCTCTTCCCCTAGGCAGCTTGAGGGACCAACCCAGTGCCATCCCCTTTTTTGATGGGACAAAAACCTAGTGCCAGCACCCATGGTGTGAGATGCTTCCCACAGGACACTCTGTGACCCTGGAAAACAAACCAGGAACCTCCAAGAACCTCCTTGTCTTGCACTTTTGCTCTGTCCTCCACATATGGAACACAGCTTTTCTCCACCCACACTCCTTGTACATACCTGAACAGCAGTAGCATCACTTTAGTCTTCCAGTTTTGCTGCATCATTAAAGCTTTAGTCCTTGCCCTGATATTCTGGTGCTTTCAAATTATAGGGGCATTGGTCAAAAGATAGAAAAGGGGGAAAAAATGTTTCTTTTTTGTCCCTCTCAGAATGATCAGAATTGGAATTAATTTTATCCTGTGTAATGTTTTGGCTTGGTTCATATTTTTTCCAAGTGAGTTCATGCATTTCTACTTGCAGAAATAGAAGGTCAGGAAACCAGTCAATCCTCTCTCTCCTAAAAGGGGTGAATCCCTTCTAAGGAGTGAATCATCAGTGTATGGAAAGAAAACAAAATGCAAAAATACCTTCTGTGGGACTGTAATCATTGCTGCATGCAATTACAAAATGGACAAGGGGACTTTGGATGCCATTTGTTTGCATGAATTTTTAGGTAATCTGTTTAATTTAAGTGATGAACATGGGAAAGAAATTAAACCAAAACTTTCATCTTCTTGCTAAAAATAAATAAAACAGTCTTGCTTTCAGCAGTGTTTGTCTATGCAACACAAACATTTGAGCAGACTGGAGGAGTCAGGGAGGAGGACAGGGCAAGGACTCAAATCACTTTTTCATAAAATAAATCTAAAATTGTCCTGGCCCTCATCTAATTTTCCACATGTTAAAAAGGAGATATGTGTATGAATATATGTGCAAGCCATTATGTTGTTTTTATTAGTCATCTGTTACAGAGATTAGTTCCAAGAAAAAGTTTTGGATCCAGATCTGAACTCTCTGAGGAAGGAGAGTATCCAGAATTGAACTTTTGATTACTACTGGCATAAAAATAATTTGAATCCAGGTTTTTGATTCATTGACTGAATTTGATTTCCCTGATTTTTTTCATACAAGAATTTAGCATATCAGTTTAAACATAAACACATCTAAACTTAATTCCGCTGGAATAAAATAGAAAGTTTCAGTGTTTTTTTACCGTAGTGTTTCCTATCTAATGCTTTCAACAAAAAAATCTTAGTTCAAATGTTTCCAAGTATTCTTTTTAAAAAAGCAATAGGCTTTCCAACTTATTGCTGGTACCCAGTACTGTTAAAAAAAAAACAACAAAACAACAAACCAGTGAACAGTATAGAAGCCTTAATTTTAAAGGCTGAATTATTAACAGTGTATAACTGTCCTTCCCTGTAAGAGGGACTAAACTTTAGTAGTCAAACCCAAATGCATCCAAAACTATCAGATACTTTAAGTCCTAGTTGAGAGGTTTAATGAAAATATAACCAGGACTCACTTGCATTTCACACATAAGGTCATTTATTAGACCTTTATCACAAAATGCTATCTAGTAATCAATGCCAGGCATTGGAACAACTAGAAGTCCTGTTTCAAATACAGAACACAAGTTCTAAAGACATAAAAAACCCAATCAATTTCAAGCCCATATCATGATTTTTTTCTTGAAGCCCTATTTCAGTAATCCTTATCATTTAACTTCTGGAGAATTATTCAGACCTCAGTGGCATGACCTACTCTCCTGGAGAAAGTGGAAGAGGAATGAAAGGTACTACTTATACCTTCCTTTACTTAGCACAAAATTCAATGTAATAATACACTTAAGCTGTTATATGGTTACCATATGTTATATGGTAGAATTACTTCACATAGTATTAACAGGTAGATCTACAGACAGAATATTTATGCTTGTATCTACACTTTACTACGGCCTGTATTCATGAGATGGTAAATAAGTAAAGAGATGAACACTGGAAACAGCATTTGAATGATTTTCTTCTTTTTGATTAAGAAAAAAGGTCTTCTCCATAAGACCTATGATGAGAGACAAGACACTCATGACCACAGCAACAGCAATGCAGTGGCCTGGGAGGTCAGAACTGGAAGGTGAATTTAAGACACACTTGAGATAAAGCTCTGTCATTCCAGTTTGGTCTTCCATTTTTTTTAAGCTCATTCAGCTCTAGTTAATAGAAAATGTACAGGAAAATCCAGATCTCATTCTGTAATTGCTGGAGAAAACTGGGCACATTCAAGGTGCAAAACGTTGCATCCTTTAAAGGATCTCATCCTGGTCAGGAAAGTCACGCTGAGTATGTGCCTGCTCTCTCCACCGGCTATAAAGAGATTATAATGCGAGTGGTGCAGATAAGGATATGGTATTCCAAGATGTAAACACCTAAAATTAGATGACATGAATGTCATTCCCAGGGTTTTTTTTGCTTGATTGATCATAATACAAGTGTAAATAATCTGGCACTCAATTAATAAATGTATGATTTCCTCAAGTACATGCTGTGATCCTGGATGAAGAAATCTTCAAGGGCTATCACTGGTACAAGCTCAGGTGTATTTCAAGCTGGGAAATATTAAATTAGTATTTCAAGGAGAATCTGCTGCTGACCAAAGGCATTGAGAGATTGTGAGAAAAAGGACAAAGGCTTTAATAAGACAGTCTAAACAGAAAGACTGGCTACGAGCATCTGGCTATGGAATCAAATGAAATTTTAGGGAGACTTCAGCTCAAGTTACACCCTACAGCAGTGAACAATAATTGAAGAAAAAATGAAAATACTGCCAGGTTCTCCTCTTTGTATTTGAATTTGTATTTGGAGGAGGCGAAAAAGGGAGGAAACAAAGAGTTACAATTTTTCCAGGAATACTAATTCCATAATACTAATTACTATAAAAAATGAGTGCTCCTTCTGCTGTGACACAGTAAACCCTTCTAAACCCTGTTACTATCTCAACACTCTCCTACTGACTTCTGTCTCCTCATGAGGAGAGCAAATGTGTCACTTTGCCATTTCTGATTGGCCCTGACATGCCAAGGCTTCTGCATGTGCTGGATCTGAAATCCGTGACATTTCCATGAAATAGAAAATGGACATAGGACACATCCAGAAAGTAATGTACAAATCTATGTATATATATTGCCTATGTACAAACATTTACAAAGGCTGTGGCCTGCAGATGAAAACTAATGAGGGCCTGAAGCCTTCAATACCTGTTTTCTAGGGCCCCTGTTACAGTACAGCCAGACTCCTAAAATCTTTAAATTATAGCATACCACAATGAAGAGCAAGTAATACTTATGACTATAAAAATATGTTGGAATATAAAATTTGAATACAATAAAACTATAAGCATTGCTTAAAGTTTACTATATCATCAGCCAAGTACTGCATTTTTGCAGCAAAAAAAGACCAAGTAGTTATAAAATTCTGGGTTTGCAGTGGGAAGGCAGTGATTTTTCATAAGCGCAAACACTCTGCCAGGGTGCTGGTAAGTTGCTCAAGGCATAATGTTTAGTAATGTCTCCTCTCATGGTGGGAACTCTGATCTGACTGCCCACCACAGTATGGTTACAGATTACATGGCAATCTATCAACAGTTTATAATAGAATAGTTTGCAAATGTTCCACAAAGAACAGAGTGCTTACACATGTGTCTGTTTACTCTGAGTTATTTTGAATACCAAGAATAAAAAGCTTAACAATGAACAAACCGAAGACGGATTGTACACAGTGAATGTTTAAAATATTTCATTGAAGCATGAAAGCAGCTTTTCATTCTGCTGGCAGTGGCTGAATCTTCCTAGGAGCTGTATTTGGAGTTGCAGCTGACAGAACTGATGTTGGGCAGCAGATTAGTCGGTAGACTGTTAATTTAGCTAAGAGCAGATGTGGGTATTTATTTTAGGGAGGGTTGTAAAGCTCAGGAGCAGAAAGTTTCTGGGTATGCTTGAAAAATGCAGGCAGAGGTAGCAGGGATTTCCTGCCTGAGCAATTGTTCCCTCACCTTTTCCAGATGAATTACTTATGAAGAGAAAAGTGATGCCCATACTCCTCATGACTTGGGAGTATCAAGTTCCCATTGTACAATACCCCCTCTCTGCTACAGACATCTTTAACTCATGTGTCAGGGAATCCAGAGTGGCAGTACCTAAACAGCACCCTTGAAATCCTAAGGGACAAGAAGAGCAGCACAAGTAAAAATGAGTGGGTTAATTTTCCTCTCAGTTTGAAACATCTGTGCCCAGTTTACAGAACAAGGTAAAATCTGCTGTAGGTTTCGGCCTTGCACACATCCCTGGAAGTGTTGGACATGGTTTGGAACAACCCGCTCTAGTGGAAGATGTCCCTGCCCCTGGCAGGGGCATTGGAGCAAGATGATCCTCAAGGTCCCTTCCAACCCAACACTGTGTCTATGATAAGAGCCATGCAAGGTTCTGGCAAACTCGTTTATAGGGGACCATTTACTCCTGCAGCCTGGGATGAGACCAAGTAACACTGTAGGAAAATCCAGCTATCATTGCTATAAAGTAGCACAGAACACCATTCCCACTTCATACAGACTGGGAAGAAAGCATGCATCACATTGATTTACCAAGTAAATCAAAATAAAAGTTTTCAGGAGCCAACCCTTTAGAAATGACCTCATTTCTTAAAAACACAGGAAAAAAGCCAAAGCCATGTCAGAGGCTAGATTCTGCAGTTCAGTCATCAAGTAAATAAATCTCTACATGTTCAGAAAGAAATCCTATTGGAGGAGGAAACTGACAACTGTTTTCTGGGAAAATTTCTAAGTTGTTTTGAAAAAAAAAGAAGAGTTCTTACATGTGATGATAATGTTAAATGAAAACAGAATAACATAACAAGGTAACACAGTAAGCACATTTACTTTCCTTTCACATAAATGCACTTGCACACCACCACATACACTCTCATTTTTTAACAAAAGTAATTTCAATAAATCATTAAAAATGTTTTTCTCCCTAAAAACCTTGAATCTCAAACACAAATCCAATCCTAACAATGAATATTAAGGGTTTGGCCATTCCCCCCTGCAGGAAAGCTGCAGCTGTGTAAGACATTCCTAGAGCTCAGCTGTTCAGTGTCTGTTCTTGCCACACCCATACATATATATCTATCAATCATATAAGGGCCATTCAAGATTCCCTCATTGCTTTAGTGCACAGTCAGCCAGGGCAGCTAAATCTGTGTCTGCAACACTGACTGTGATCTTGGTGAACAGTAGCTGAATGCTCTAGTGCAGCTTGAGGGTGCTGTGGTGGGTGACACCCCAGCTTTTCCATCACCCATTCTGTCTCTCTTCTTTAGGGTTTTTTTTTCCTCAACACAAAGTTATTTAGAGGCTTCTCTCAGGCAGCAACAATTCAAGCAATTTTCTCTATTGCTCGCTCGCAATCCTGATTCAGCTGTAAACAGATTCCCAACTGAAAGTTCATGCATAGCATTTTTTGAGTTACATTAAAACTAGATGGATGCAGACTGACATGCACTGATGCTAAAGACTCCAAAGGACCGCACTATTATTCAGGTATTTTTCTGTGGCAGAAATTTTGGAGATGTTAACCCTACTGAGTCAAACAAAATTAACTTTCCAGGGTGTCTGAATTCGGAAACGTTTTCCAGTTGGAATTACTATTGCAGAAACATGTGCTTACCTGCTAAAGGAAGAAGAAAACAGGACTGAATAGTAAACAGGGAAGACTCTGCAGCAGGTTTCCAAGAGTCAACATGAAAATTCTTGGCAGTCAATACAAACTGGTTGAAAAAAGTCAGGCCCTTGCAAAAAAAGTCACCTCTGCAACAAAAGATAAACAAAAGATCAGTATTGTAAATATTGCTATTCTACAATATGTTTCAAGAGTGCACTAATAAACCCATAGTGACACACAGAAGTAAAATAAGCACAATAATCAGTGCTGTTCTACCTCATTGCTGACTCAAATATTTCTTCTTGCATTTTTCCCTTTTCTGTTTTATTTTCTTCATGGGGAGCAATTCACTGGCACCAACATTAAAAGCTACACTTATCTCTAAAGAAGGCAAGAGAACTTCCATGGGAACAGACAGTGCAAGCAGTACCATGTCCCAACATTAAGGAGGTGACAGAAAAAGGTTTGAAATATGCTGCATGATTTATTGTGATTAGCTTTGGAGAGCAGATGTCCTGAAAGACCCAAGAAAGTCTTAAATGCATCATTTAGAAATACTGGGAATTCTTTCTTTAAGGCTTCAAATAATGGGTAGAATATCACTGCCTGCCCTGGGCTGGTCTTGAAGTGCCCTCTGAGGTGACTATGAACACAGTTAACAACCCCAGAGTCGATAAACAAGTGAAGCACAATTAAGAATTATGTGACTTCTAACCCCAACAAAAACACCTTCATAATTTAAATATTATTTTTGCAAATAACTGGTCAATAAATATAGAACACTATTAGGAAACTCATATATGTGTGTGTATGTACATATATATATATATGTATGTGTTTGTGTATACATATGTATGTATATATATGTGTATATATATATTATACGTATATATATTATATGTATGTATGTATATATATATATTATACATACATGTACACATACACAAACATATACCATACACAGATACACAGTGGTATTCACATGCATGCACATTCTGAGTACAGTTGCACTTTGCACAGTCATTAGTACCAAGTCTAACACAGTGCTAAATTTGACTAAAAATACACTGATGTCCTTTTTGGTTTAGCTCATCCTGGGTATGAACCATTCTTGCTTTTGTTTTTTGACATTTCATATTCACTGCATGTGTTTAAAAATACGTATTTTAAAGTTAATCTTTCCCATGCTTGAAAGAACTAAATAATCCCCTTATACTCCCCCCTTTGTCTCCTCCACGAGTATCAGCTACATTCTGTTACCACTTATTTTAGGCAAATTTAGAGGTGTTAGTTTAAGTCAGAGGGTTGGGCAGAGTCAGTGCATTTTGCCTGTAATGCATTCAGGAGCACAAACACAAGCAGCTCAGCAGAGAGCTGCAGAACTGGAGAAATCACTCTCAGCTTGGAGGCTGCAGAGCCTTGAACTGGTGTCCTGAGCACCTGGGCCAAGGTAGGGACAGCAGCCTCTCAGCAGCATGTGGGAGATAACACATGAACAAAAACGACATGAGGGATGCAAAAACAAAAGGTACAAACATAGTCATGCCAGAGCAACAACAATTCCTGTGGATGAGTATATGAAAAACTGCTCTAATTGTATGAGAAATTCCACTCATGTCAGAGTTGACTTACAAAATAGACCCTGGGCAATATGTGACTGACAGCATCAATATTATTTAGCTAAAAATAGATGACTGAGATGCTTATGCTATCTGCTTAACACCAAACCGACTGCTTTGAAACTTTCACATAACCTTTCTGCAAGAAATGCAACATTTTAAGAAATTTTCCCAACTGACATGAACAGAGATTGGATGCAGGATATTTTACAGGGAACCCTCCAAGCCAAGGCATGGGTTCTGGCCAAACCCTGGTCCTGGCTGGTCAGGAAGTGTGCCATCAGATCTGGGAGTTTCTGTGCTAAAAATATGATCAAGCCACTTTGACTTGCTGATTTGGGCCCATAAAAGTTGGAGCCACTTTTGGGGTGAATTTGGAGACCTCACCTGTGGATGGAAGCACTGTGTAGGATTTTCCCAATTGCTGGGAAGTGTTCTCTAAGTCCTCACTGTGAAATGGGGCTCCCCAGAGACTGTGGACTCTGGGTGATGGTGACGTATTTAGGCAATTGGTGATGCATCTTTCTCAGTCACTATCCTTTGACCCAGCAATCGGCAGAACACTGCCTGACTTCAGACAGATATTATCAACAGAGAGCACAATAAAATGAAGTGCTTATGGGTATGAAAATACTGCTTTGTTTGGAGAACATGCTTTGACATTTCTATGCTAGCTGATTAAAAAAACCCCTCCACTTTATCAGTGATAATTTGATCAGCCAGGATAATAAACCTACCTCATAGTGCTATTCTTTAGGATTTAAGGGGGTAACTTCAGAATAAAATTCCACTGCCTTTTTTACTTAAACTGATCTAACTTTGATGATTAAAGTTCAGCTATTCCATCAATGCAAGCATGAAGTATAAATCATCTTTTTTTTATTTTTTTTTATTTGTGAAATACATTTATGTTGCTTTTATCTAATATTCAGTATATCCTAAACTACACACAGGTTCAGGAGAAGAGGAGAATGCCTAAAAAAAAACCTAACCATGATGCTGCTGCACAGAAGTTCTAGGAAACTGTAATTAATTATTCCTTTCTCCATCCTTTGGCAGATAAAGCAAATTAAGAATTCATTTGTCATCAAGTATTGATACCATCCCTTAAACCAAGCATTTCCCAGAAGAGGAATTTCAGAATTGCATGACAGTTTTCTCAGCCACACACTGCTGGCTTACCCCTCCACTCCAAGGATAGCAGCAACTCAGGGTTCTCAGAAGAACCTCTGTTAATGACCCAAAATTACCTTCAGGCTGTAGCTTTAGAGACCTCCTGACCAGCATGGAAAGAAACATGACTCCAAAGGTTTTTGGAACCTAAAGCTGCCACGAAATCCAGACTTATCTCAAACTGCTCTGAGCAACAGGGCAGTACAATTTCTAGGTAAATTCTACATGTGAGGCAGAGGAGGAAAGGGTGTAGTGTGGTTAGTGATGCTGTTTGGGAATTTCTCAAAACCAAAATGTTACTCCTGGCAGAGATGATAGTTGTCCAAGTGTTATTGGACATAAAATGTTATATGCATTCAAAAATAAAGAGCAAAGCACAGGATCGCTCCTTACAGGTGCGTTACAAATAATACAACTGCCCTCCTTTTCTAAGTGACTGTATTATGGAATTAACTTATTTGTGTGAGTGAAATTGATTTCTCATACAACATCAACTTGCTCAGTGAAGGCCATACCCATTCCTCCTCAGTACTGGCAACAAGAGCTGCCATAAATCAGTATTTCAGTGTAGTTGATAAGAGTCACCCTGCTCATCAACTACTGCTCAGCCAGCTACAGCCTGAGAAATCAGTCACACAGACTCTTAATTCTGGCTGCTACTGGGGATGCCTTTCAATTCAGCGATGAGTGGCCAGCAAATAAGCCCTACATCTCAGTTTGAAGGCTAGGGGTCTGCCAAGGAAGGTGGGAACCTCCCTTGGAATGGAGAATATGACCTCCTTCCCACGGAATTATTGTATCTTTACATTTTATCTTTAAGGGGGTTTTTAGGCAAAGATAAAGGAAAAGGAATAAGAGATCTTTACTAGTATGCATAACCAGGCAAACAACATCTGTAGAAAGAATGGACCAAAGCCCAGACTAAAAGTGATGATGAAGATAAACACATGCTCTAAAAAGGCAGACCCAAGGAGAGGCCATGTAAAACAGTTCTTAGAAAAGCTTAAATACGTATAGTTGTTTATAAATATGCAACAAGCTGATGCAATAGAAATGGTATATAGAGGGTGTTTCCAAAACAGCGAGTATGCTCTTGGCAGAATGCCAAGCATCCAGCAGTTTCAACCCTTTGCTTTATTGTATTTGTCTCCTATTGACTTTTTTTCTTATTAAACCTTTTAAAATTTATCAAGAAAAGTGAACCTTGTTTTTCACACTGAGGCACCGGAGCAGATGCTGAAAGTCCTATTTTAGTGAGGTAGGGTGTTAATAAGGTCCCAGTTCAGTGGCTGTTCTCATGAGCAGGGGCTCACCCCATGGCAGAAGAAGCAGGACAGGGCTGGGCTTCGGCAGCAGCAGCGAATTCCCTCCCAAGCAGCAGCAGCCTCGACCACTGACCCCTGAAGCCACCAGAGAGAGCAAGCAGCTGCTGCAGCCCTGTCTTCTTCCAAACCCATTCTCTTGGTATGCTCTGAGAGAAACCCTCAGATAAGGGAAGTGCAGTCAGATGCCCTCTTCCCCTGAATTTTGCCATTTCTTTTCTCTCTCTTAAGTACCTGGTCATTATTATCCCTTATCAAGAAAATGGGACAAAATTCCATGAAAGGAAGAAACAAAAGGAAGAATCTTAAACCCCAACACCCTGTCATTTCAGTGACTGTATTCGACAAAGATGCAAGCCAAGAATCAACGCTCTGGCTGCAAATGATGATTGCAATTAAACCCTAATCAGCCTGGAAGGCTGATGTGATTAGGGTCTGTTGTGTTAAAAACCATTGCGGCTCTATTATGGACCTTTACCTACTGCAAAAATTTAATTTGGGACTGCAGTGACAGAGCAGTGTATCAATAGCTGGGGACTGAGAAAGCTTTGGTCACTACTTAGAAAATTTTGCCAGCTCAGCTCAATCAACCACAAGCGTGGCAAATAGTGCATGGGAAGAATGAAATGAATACAAATATAAAATCATCAATATGAAATGCACCATCCATACTCTTGGCTTTATTCTTCAAGTCACATGCATGTAGATTTTCCTTCGGGTTAGCTGAGCTTTATTTCAATGGCCTTTTGTATTCCTGGCATTCCCCACCCCTGCCATTTAACTAGTCAGCCTACAAGTGGTACCAACAAAAAGAACCACTTGGCTCTGCCTGTGCTTGGCTTCCCAAGCACCATGGTTCACTCTTCTTTCAAACCTGTGAAAGACCTTTTCTTCTCTTTTTTCACCAGCGATAAAAAGATGACAGTACATCTTCTGGGCTTTACATCCCTAATCTTTCTCCTTCAAAACAACACTTTAATGGAATTCAAGTTCTTACTATAAATTCAAATTGCAACTAAAGGATGGATTCTG